CAGCATGACTCAACCCGAACAAGATATCCCCCAGGCACATCATAATTAACTTTACCAAAGTAAGATGAAAAAGAAAATTCTAAAAGCAGCCAGATGTAAGAAAACTATAACCTACAAGGGGAAGAATATTAGAATGACTGCAGATCTCTCTGCTTAAAGCTTTCAGGCTAGAAGAGGATGGCCATCGACTTTTAATCTCCTAAAACAAAATGGCTTTCAACCCAGGATCCTGTATCCAGCTAAACTGACTTTTATCTATGATGGAGAAATTAAATACTTTAATGACATTCACATGTTGAAGAAATTTGCCATAACTAAACCACTTTCCAGAAAATTCTCAAACCTATCCTCCATAAAGACCAGCGCAATCCTTCACTACAAAAGTAAACTCACTCAGAAACTTTTGATCAGATTCCAACTTCCACAGTGGTGAAAGGATATAAAATGTTGACTGGACTTTCAAAAAACTTGGTACCCAAAATTTTACCAGGCTTATCAATATTCTCAATTAATGTACATGGCCAAAATTATTCTCTAAAGAGACACAGGTTGGTGGACTGGATACAAAAACTCGGGCCAGATATCTGCTGCATACAAGAATCTCATCTTACTTTAAAAGATAAATATAGACTCAGGGTGAAGGGATGGTCATCTCTATTCCAGGCAAATGGGAAGCAGAAAAAAGCAGATGTTGCAATTTTATTCGCAGACACAATAGGCTTTAAACCAACAAAAGTAAGCAAGGACAAGGACAGTCACTTTATATTTGTTAAGGTTAATACTCAATATGATGAGATTTCAGTTATTAATATTTATGCACCCAACCAGAATGCACTCAATTTATAAGAGACACTCCAACAGGCATGAGCAACTTGATTTCTTCCAGGACCATCATAGTCGGAGACTGCAACACTCCTTTGGCAGTGTTGGATAGATCCTCCAATAATAAGCTGAGCAAAGAAATTTTAGATTTAAACTTAACCATCCAACATTTGGATTTAACAGACATCTCAGAACACTTCATCTTAACAAAACTGAATACACATTTTTCTCATCAGCCCACAGAACATAATCCAAAATCAATCACATCATAGGTCACAAGTTTAACCTCAGCAAATTTAAAAGAATAGAAATTATTCCTTGCATCTTCTCGGACCATCATGGAATAAAAGTTGAACTCAGTAACAACAGGAATCTGCAGACTCATACAAAAACATGGAAGCTAAATAACCTTATGCTGAATGATAGGTGGGTCAGAGATGAGATTAAGAAGGAAATT